TTTTTAATCCATCTCTTAAGTGAAGTCAAGAGGCAAATCAAATGTGTCCCCAAACTGGGACAGGATTTAAATGAATTCAGATTCACAAAGCTGCTAACAGTTTCCACTATTGTTCTGAAACCAGTGAGTGTCATGGGAATAAAGTTCTGTGTGGTTCTCAAAACTCAGTGCACAAATACAAGACTGATGGAAATGTACTTTTATAGCAGTTCTATATATACGATATCTAGAGGTTTTAGGATTAATGTCAGGACTGATGTGCTGTTAAATTTTGTGATGTGCTCTTAGGTGGTAGTAATAGAAATAACATGTCTAGAGCGAGAGCTTTTCTTCCTTGGGAGCTCTGCAATGCTCAGCCATCTTGGCAGATCTCTCCTTCCTCAGGCTACAGAGCATTTTGAGAGGCACACTGAAATTTTGTGACTGGGACACACAGTAAGGAATGACTAAAGCAAATCATATGAAGAATGGTTAGAGAAATTGGGAATGCTTAACCTGGATGAGGACCACTCAGGATATATGGGGTTGTCTTATGGAAGAAGGCTCTAACTTCTGACCTACTCCCAGAGGTAAAAAACCAACACAAAGATAATTCTGTGTGTTGAGCTATTAAATGGAAAAATGGACTGGCCTTCTGTGGGCTGGGGAGAGGGCTCCAAGGCAGGGTGTGGAGAGGAAAATGACTTGGGGTGAGCTGTTGAACTGCATCATGTTGAGAGAATCTTTCAAAATTAAAATCCTAAAATTTACAGTGACAGAACAAAATGATTGCCTAACACATGTGAGATTTAGAACTTCCATGCACAGGAATATTAGACTTCCTCCAAATATGTGAAAATTATACAATTAACATAGGAGCAGCAATTATCTTTATATTCCTTTCAGAAGAAAAAGCAGTAGTGACATTTAAGCCATGCTTGAACAGAGGAGAAATTAGTGACATAGGCAATTGTTTTGGTGCACAGAGAGCCTTTGAACTCTGGACCTAAGCCCCAGGGAATCTACTGTGCTGTTTTGATATAAAGAAATGAGCAAAGAAGGTTTATGCTGGATGCAACTTTAAATCCTTCAGCAGTGCCCAGCAGCCATAAAAAAAGCAAACAGAAGTCGGCAAATCCTTTCCAAAGGTGATGAAGAGAAACAGAAGAAATTATCTCTCCCCAAGATAAATGTTCCATCCCTGCACTGCAGATGGGGCCACAAACTTCCTCTGCAAAGAACATTCAGCCTTGGGAAAAGGAAGAGCAGGCAGCCAGAGTGAGGGCAGGGAACCAGGCACATAGCTCTTCAGGCGATTTGCACCAACCAAGTTAATATAATAACCAAGTTAATATAATTGGTCACCTAGAGACAGAGTATTTAACAAGGATCCCACTAAGGCCAGAAGAGGCTGGAGGATGCCAGTGGAAAGGAGTCACTAGGCTCCTTGGATGTAGGAGACAAAAGCAATCAAGACAGAAATCCAGGGCCTCCCTGGTGGCGCAGCGGTTGAGCGCTGGGTTGCGAAGCTGCCCGCAGCCTCTGCAGCGCCGGTTCGATCCCCGGCTGCTCCCAGGCCACAGGAGGAGGGTCCCACATGGCGCGCAGACCTCTCCTGCCGCCCGCTGCTCCCCTCAGCAGTGTACTTCGTCACTCTGCCTGTTCTGCTCTCCCCTCTGGCTCTGGTGAATTCTTTCACCGTCCCACGCTTCTGACTGTACCCAGTGCTTGTATAAATAAATAAATAAATAAATCTTAAAAAAAAAAAAAAAAAAAAAAAAAAGAAATCCAAACTGAGCCCAGTGGACAGTCTAGAAGAGTCAAGAGGAACAGACCTTTGCTTAGCCGCTGAAAGCCCCCAGATAAAATCCCAACCACACCACCAATTTATTAAAAGTTATTTCTTCTCTACTAGCCAACAGGCTTCCACTAATCTCAAGCATTCTTTCTGACTTATTTCATTAACGTTTCCTTCTTTTTCTGGAGTGGTCAGAGCCCCAGGAAATCTCTCTCTCCTTCTCTTTCCCCTCCCCCCCACAGCCAGTGGGGCGTTGAATGAGAGCCAGCATGTTGTCTGTATAAAGAGAAATTGCAAAACCACAAATTGCAGAAAATGCTTACTGCCAAAAATCGAAAGGAACACACAATATCACCATGGCTCTTAAAAAGCAATTGCGCATTTTACAGGCCTCTGGATAATTCAGGTTTGTTTGGTGACTTTCTCACCCATACCACCCAGAAGACAATTCTCTTCCACCAGAGGCAGTGGTCCTGAAGAATATGAGTGGTTAAAAAGAAACAAAGATGTGGGTGCAAGTCTTTCCAGCAGCCTGACTTGGCCCAATACGGCTCTATTTTCTTCTATTGTGTAGTATTTACTTTAAGGCCCACAGTTTGCCCCCAGAGTCCCATGGACTCCAACCAAAACAGAGAGCCTCCAAGAATCTAATATGAATCCCTTAAAAACACACGGCATTTTTAGATGGTAAAATTTTCCCCAAACATTATCTTAGGTGAGTATCACAACCACCCTTTGAAGGAGGCAGGAAAAATATCTGCCCTATCTCTCACCCTATTAGGGTGAGGATACCAGAAATAAGGATACTAGAAACTGAAAGAGTGATCTGGGACTCAGCATGAGGCTTCAGGCTTTCACTCTGAGTTCCTGCCCTTACCGGCCTGGCCCTCTTTCTCTGAGAGGCACCTCTTCCCGACTTGGCTAAGGATGTCCTTCATTGGTGGGGCTAGGGTTTTATGAATCCCATACCCAGTTCCAGGTGCTTTACTTGGAAAGCCTCCTGCCATTCACTATAGGTGGAAGGAAGTCTTGTCCCAGTGGCGTGCTGATTAGGTTGATTGTATCGGTTGTAGAAAACAATGCCTCTGAGGACATCACGCCAACTCCGGAGGGGCTGATGGAGTCTGGCTGCCCAAGTGAACCACGTTACAATTGCCTGGCAACTTGAATAATGTGTTTCCATGACTCATGAGTCAGACCAGCTTTGAGTCTGTTGCTCAAAGATGAATCGGAGAGGTGTGTAGCTTCAATTTGCTTAAAATTCTCATGCAAGTTTGCCTATCTGAATATTTACTAATAAAAATAGGTTACCAAGCATTTTGTATGTCCTTGAGAAAAAAAAGTGAAAATAAAGTCATCACAAATTGACCTCTGCATCTGAAAAAGTAAAAGGGGCCTTTAACTGAAACTTTAATAAAGAGATCTGGAGGTAATAGTCACCTACGTGTTTATAGTTGAATATTTGCATACAATGGCAACATACTGCCTTAAAATTGCCCTTCAGCTAAATTTCACTATGAACATACATCAAGTGTCTTTAGCATTTACCATCAAATCATTTAATAGCAGTGCTAAGCCTAAATAGACAGAAATAGTGTGATAAAGAGCTACCAAATATGAATATGTAGGAAACCAAACACAGGAGGTTCCCCCTGAATAATTTCTGTGTTCAAAAGGAAGAATGCAGTCAAAAGTTAACACTTGTACAATTAAACTACTTAGGATGGCACATAAAAAGGGAAATGCTTATAAAGTCTAACATGACTATTGGTAAAAGCTGCTTAAAATATTCATAGCATGCAGGTGTCTTGATAATGCAATAAAGACCAACACAATATGGTAGAGATTGACATTTTTTAAAATTCCAGTGAATGCATAATACTTTGACATAAAATTTAAATGGTTTCGAGGGTAAAGATCTCTTGTGCTAATGTTGGACTATTTGGGGAATAGCAGTGCCATCAATTTATTCTAGAGAGCAAACCAAATCATTACCCGGGGAAATCAGTTAAAAATGAAGACTTTCTTGGGCCTCCCCTGGTGGCGCAGCGGTTGAGCGCTGGGTTGCGAGGCTGCCCACAGCCTTTGCAGCGCCAGTTCGATCCCAGGCCACCGGCGAGGGTCCCACAAAAAAAAAAAAAAAAAAAAGAAAAAATGAAGACTTTCTTGAAGGTTAGCTAAATACATAGTTTTCTCAGGAAATGAATGACTCAAAAGGAATTTATTGGGACATGTATAATATATATAATTCAAGTGAGACCTTTAGATCCTCATGGACCTAAGAATGTCTAATGAGATGTTTTAGTGACTGCTGAGATGTATCCTCCATTGGGAATTCTGTTTGAATCAGGAGCTGGGATTTAATGTACACTACTAAGTTTACCTGGTTCAACCTTGTACCATATCTCTAGTGACAAGTAACTTGCTACCTTTTTGCTCTGTTTGAATAGCTGGAATCTTTATCTTGAATCCACAATCTACCTCCTGCTTTTTGTACTCAGATATAATCAATTTTTTTCCAGAGACATGAGGAATATTCATATTATTTTTGGTTAAAATCATTATAAACATTTTATTAAAAAATTTGCATCCTAATTCCCAAAAGCAAAACTCTAAAACACTCATAACTTCCATTTTGAAGCTGGTATGACTTTATTTGATTGTTTAGACTAGAGGGAGCTTGTAGTTTGGGTATGGACCCTGGGAGTACCAAAGTAAAGAAACGTAGCACACAGGAGATTCCTTCTAGAAAGAACACTGGTTTACAGAGTGGCTGTAATACAGTGCTCACAGGAAGGAATTATTAAGAACTCCTATGCTATTAAATGTGAAACCGCCTGTGACTGTGAGAAACAACTGTGAAGAGAGGAATAAATTAGCCATTTGAGAGAACCTGGATATTCAAATGTTTGGTGTCATGCAGTGGTCAAAATATCAAACAGAACATTGCCTTAATATTTTCCTTGTCACATTTTTTTCTAGCTCTCTCGATACAATATCTTTGCGGTCATAATCACATTCAATCTGCTTCCCAAATTGTTTGTAGAACACTCCATGGTACTATTCAAATCCATAGTATGAAATGTTAGCTTCAAGCTGTGGTTGCATTTATTGAGCCAGACTTTAAGAATGCAGCCGTGTGAGATGGGAGCCTTAAAGATTAGGAGGACTTAGGAATTATAGCTGAGAAATAGATACCATTTCAAGAATGAAATGTACTTACATTTTGCTGCAAGTGAAATGCTTGTCTTTAAAGGGTAGTCTCTGAAACAGAGAGAGGGGGGGAAAAGTATGTTAAAAACAACACTGTACAGTAACTGAATCAAAATGAAAAGGGCATTGAATTGTCTTTGAAGGTGCAGGCACTGACTGATAAAATGAGAGGCCTAGAAATGAAAAAATAAAACTTACTGGGAGATTTCCTGGAGGCATAGAGAACTGTAGCTCACAAGGAAAACACTTCTTCAAATGCTGTATCTCATTGCGTGCTCAGCTCCCTGTCCCTGAGCAGCCCAGAACTTCAATACCACCTGGTTCTCACTTTGTCTCCCAGTCTGATCATGGCTAGAGGAAATTTGAGTCTAGTTTTCTATGTCACTGACTTAGACTTGTCCTTTTTGGACTTCTGGTTCATATTGACATTGTACCTTGTTCTTGTAGGTCCAGTCCTGACACATTGTTTCATTAAACTCCTAAAAATTATGATTTTCTCAATTCATGCTTATTGGGATGAGTGGATAGTTTTCTTTTCCAAGAAATAAAAAGCTTTTCTGGGGGTGGTGGTGGGGCTTGGAACCAAGGCCAGGTTTCTCTTTATTCAAGATGGCAGTGAAAGGGAGAGAACAATTACTCTGCCTGTGCTTGCAAGGTGTTTGCCAATTGTGCAGGCAGGCAATTTCTTTAGTGTGGCAGCCCACCAGACAATAAAGCTTGCTTCCAAATCCATTTTATTTTTTTAGGTAGGAGTGGGGAGTTCTATTGAGGTTATATCCAAAGGAGTACTTTTCAGAATAGAAGTTTTAATTGGGGATGCCGGGTAAATCCCCATGGTTGATATGAGTTATTTGCATTTTGAGAGTTCAGTGGTTCCAGATCATCTCTAACACTAAGTCATGGTCTTACGCTAAGTCACAGAGCTACAGAAAGATCTTGCCATATCACCCACTTCGGCCTGGATGAGTCAGATTAGTCACTTCAGTGAACAATATTTTTGTACCCTCTGCCACTTTTAGTAATAGCATGACTTTGGCAGGTCGATTCAATATTCTGGGATTGGTAGAAATAAAAATGATGACTATTTTAAAGCACTGTTATAAGGATTAAATAAGATAATCTAAAAGAATGACACGAATTTGGCTTATGTGTGGGGACTTGATAAATTGTACCTAATGTTGTTACTGTTAGTGCTATTATTATTATTATCACAAGACCAATTAGGGAAATCAAAAAGATAAAGTAAGTCCATGAAATTGAAGTTCTGAGAGAATACTGTTTGGGTAAGATGGCTCTACTTTGGGGAGTCAAAGTTGTACCATTGTCTCAAATTCCTCTCTCAGATTGCCTTCCTCCAAGTTTTATGCCTCTAATGGATCAACATTCACATTGGAAAATTCCTCAATGTTCCAGCAAGTCATCTAACTCCTCATTTACTGTCCCTGGAGATGGTTGAGGACTATAATTACAGACTGACAAATTAAGGTATTGAACTGTTGGGCCCACAAAGAAGTTCCTCTTTCAGAGATCTTTACACCAGATTAGGCACTCCACGCATTTTTATTGAGCTGAAATTTTTAGATGGATCCCATAGTGTGACTCAGCAGGATAGCACATGTCACTGACTGGAAGAAATTAGGACACTTCTCTGACTACTGTTTGATATACATTTCCCTCAGCTTTCAACTCTCCCCTCCATACACACAAAAAACTGTTCTGCAAATTCCTGAGATGTGTACCTTCAGTTCCTTTGATGAACTTGTTGCTAGGAAACAAATTTAGAATGCTCTCACCCACTGAGCAAAGTTTTTCCTACTGCCTCAGATAGCAGGTTCTTCTTTGCCAAAAAGTGTTAACAAAGAAAATTGTTACTTTACGCATTCATTGGACACGAACTCCTCATTTGGGCAACGATATCACAGCACTAGCATTGATCACTTTGAAAACTATTGAGTTGGTCCGCTAGCGCTGCGGCGCCCCGAGGCAGCGTGTGGCGGGCTCTGGCCAGGAGACTCCCGGACCCCGGCAGCTGCCTCCGTCCTCTGTGCTGGACCCCATCGCCCCCCAGCGCTGCTCCCGAGCCCTGGCGCGTCTGTGAGAGCAGCGGCAATGGACGAATCTCTGGTGAGCTGCCGGCCCTGAGATGAGAAATGTTCCCTCAGAAGGGACGGTGTCATTTGAAGACGTGGCTGTGAACTTCACCTGGGAGGAACGGCAGTGCCTGAGTGAAGCTCAGAGGACCCTGTACCGGGATGTGATGCTGGAGACCTGCAGTCACCTGGTGTCCCTAGGGCATTGTGTTCCCGATCCTGAGGAGAGCATCAGGTTGGAGCAGGGAGTACAGCCGTGGTCTGTGGACGATCCCCCAAGCAGGGACCTCTAAGGTCACAACCTCAGGAGATTGTTTAAGCGTGATATGAAACCACTGCCATCCATGGAGGGCCTGGAAAGATCTTAGAATATTGTCATATGTCCTTGGGCAGCTTCTAGGAGCAAGGAAGGCAAACAGAGTGTATACTAATGGGAGAAGAGACAAGAGACGGTGGTACTAGAAGACACTTACGAGCTAAGAAATATCTGGAGGATATGGAGAGATAAATCACTGCACCTTCCAAGATGATTCTGAACAACCACACAAACTATTCTTTAATGCCCAGAAATGTATGGCTTCTTCTACTTAATCCATTTCTTCTATACAACGTGAAGAAAACAAGTGCAAAGGATAGACTAAGATCATGGACTACAGGTGCTTTGCTGGTTTCTAAATTCCTGCTATGAGTGAGACCATCCAGTGTTTTTCGCCTTCTTTCTGGCTTATTTTGCTGAGCATGATCCCTTCCAGCGCCATCCATGTTGCTGCAAATGGCATGAGTTTGTCTTTTTTGAATGCTGAGTGATATACCATGGTGTATATGGACCACATCTTCTTGATCCAGTCATCTATTTTTGGGCATTTGGGTTGTTTCCAAAGCTTAGCTATTGTAAACAGTGCTGCTATAAACATAGGGGTGCAGGTGCCCTTTAGAATTAATGTATCTGTGTCCTTTGGGTAAATACCTAGGAGTGGAATTGCTGGATCCTATGGAAGCTCTATGTTTAGTAGGTCCAGAAATCTCCACACAGCTCTGCATAGTGGCTGGACCAGTTTGCACTCCCACCAGCAGTGCAGGAGAGTTCCTTTTTTTCCACACCCTCGCCAACATTTGTTGTTGCTAGTTTTTTTAATATGTGCCATTCTCACTGGTGTAAGGTGGTATCTCATGGTAGTTTTGATTTGCATTTCCCTGATTGCAAGTAATACTGAACATTTTTTCATATGCCTGTTGGCCATTTGCATTTCCTCTTTGGAGAAGTTCCTTTTTATCTATTCTGCCCATTTTGTGACTGGATTATTTACTTTGTTTTTTTGAGTCTCTTCAGCTCGCTAAGAGCATTCATTATTCTATGAGGACATCAGAAGTCTGCATACTTAAATCTCTAGAAACTTCTAAATATTGATTTTACACACGATCATCACCAAAGAAATCTTTCAGGATCAGTACAATCCTGATTACTTTCTGAACTGTGTAGGGTTTTCTTCTGATTCATCAATGAAAAATACTTTAGACTTGAAAAATCCCCATACTTTGCCCCCTCTTGTCACCGATGAAGACATGGAGGTGCTGCTGAAAGCCATCTTCCCTCAGCGCCCAGGGGCCCTAGGAGGAGGCAGTGATGATCACTGAGGGAAGGGGAGGGCAGGGCAGGGCAGGGCAGGGCAGCGCAGCGCAGCGCAGCGCAGCGCAGCCATAGTCTCTTCTGACTTGCTGGAGAAGCACCTGTCAGTAGTTCTCCTGAAGCCTCCTAATAAAGGTTAAAGGCTCCATTTAACTAAGCCCTGGCGGGGCCTCCAGGATGGCCTAGGGGTTAGTCTCAGCGCTCTCACCGCTGCGGCCTGAGTTCAAGCCCCGGCCAGGGAGCTACCCGCAAGGAGCGTGGGAGTTAGCCCCCAGAAGGGGGCATGGAGCTAGAGCGCATGTGGTGCAGCAGAAGGTCTCTTCTCTCTGTGCCTGCTGCTCCGCTATGCAATGTGCTTCAGATGGCCCCGCCGCCCCGCCCCTCCTCCCCGGCCCCGCCCCTCCTCCCCGGCCCCGCCCCTCCACTTGTTTGCTAAATATATTTGAGTTCTTGGTATATATGATCTTGTCTGGTTAATGACAGTAGAGAGTTTGGAGGGGTTACATGATGGCATAATGCAAAGTTACAGCAGTGGTCAGTGAGGTGGGAAGGTGGTCTTTAGTGAGTAGATCTAGACAGAGAAATCAGGCCAGTCTAATTGGAAGTATGGGGATAATAGTGGGAGAAATATTCATATCTAACAATAATAACAACAGCTAACTGTTGGTTCCTAATGCATTAGGAACTGTCCTAAGTGCTTTTACATGCATTGATTTATTACTCATAACACCCCAATGGAGGTACCACTCTTCCCCAGGGTAAGAGTTAAGAAGGCAAATGGGGGGTGTGGAGCACACCAGGCAAAGGGACAGCATTAGAGGCAGGGACTTTGGGCTGGAGGAACTAGCTCTTTGAGAGGTCCAGAGACAAAACCACCACTTGCCTTGTTTTGCACACATCAACAGTCTATTCTTTTTTTTTTAAAGAGGCATGTATTTTATTTGTTTGTTTGTTTTGTTTATTTATACAATATTTATATTTTGTTTATTTATTTTATTTATTTATACTGGGTACAGTCAGAAGCGCGGGAGGGTGAGAGAATTCACCAGAGCGGGGAGCAGAGCAGGCAGAAGGACCGAAGTACACTGCTGAGGGGAGCAGCGGGCGGCAGGAGAGGTCTGCGCTCCATGTGGGACCCTCCTCCGGTGGCCGGGGAGCAGCTGGGGATTGAACCGGTGCCACAGAGGCTGCGGGCAGTTTCGCAACCCAGCGCTCAACTGCTGCGCCACCGGGGAGGCCCCAACAGTCTATTCTTGTACTTTGTAGTATTTCAGGATTCATGGATGGGCTCTCTTGATATCACGAGTAGATTGTTATACTTACAGAAGCCTTGC